GCGAATCAATCAACATCAATGTGTTTGCCCGTTTGTGTAACTGTTTATGTTGTTCTTCACCTCGTGCCCATTGCAATCACTCAGATCTTGCTGCCATGATCGTGTGTTGGGGGCGACTGTGCTTGCAGCGGCTTGGCTTTTAGCAACAAGGACAATGAGGCGTTGTACGACATCTGTCGCAGGAACTTGGATATTGAGCGCCCGACCTACACGAACTTGAACAGGCTGATTGCCCAGATCATCAGCTCATTGACAGCGAGCTTGCGGTTCGATGGGGCTTTGAACGTGGACATCACCGAATTCCAGACAAATCTTGTCCCTTACCCGCGCATCCACTTCATGCTCACCTCCTTTGCGCCCGTGATCTCGGCAGAGAAGGCCTACCATGAGCAGCTCTCCGTGGCAGAGATCACAATGTCCGTGTTTGAGCCTGCCTCGATGATGGCCACTCAGTGGCGCAAAGTAGGCCTTCCAATCAGAAGGTTTTTAGCACCGCAGGTCAAGTTTAGCAGCACTCCATCAATGTTGTGTTTGCCCTTTGGGCAAGTGAGGTGAAGTGCGATCCTCGTCATGGCAAGTACATGGCTTGCTGTATGATGTGCTTCGGCAGAACGGGCTGTCAACATTTATCAACATTAATTGTTTGTAGCGTTTGTGTGTGTGTGTGCGTGCGCTAGTGTGAGCACGTGCCGTGATGTGCCGTGCTGTACCGTGATGTGGGTATGCGTCAAAATTAAACCACCAGGGATTCCAATAACCAGGGTTCCATTTTTGGGTACCTAGTCTTGACCCATACCCATGTGCATGTTCACATGTCATGGTTGGTTCTGGATTGCTTGATCGTGTTGCAAGCTGTAGGGCAGCCTGTTGCTCAGGTACCGAGGTGACGTTGTACCAAAGGACGTGAACGCAGCGGTGGCCACCATTAAGACCAAGCGTACCATCCAGTTTGTGGACTGGTGCCCGACTGGCTTCAAGTGCGGTATCAACTACCAGCCACCTACAGTGGTGCCTGGTGGTGACTTGGCCAAGGTCATGCGTGCTTGCTGTATGATCTCCAACAGCACGGCCATCGCGGAAGTCTTCTCCCGCATTGACCACAAGTTCGACCTGATGTACAGCAAGATGCTCGCCGCAGATTTAGATTCATTTGCTTCTAGAGCTGGCTTCTAATTACCAAACTACACAGTGCGGAGCAAGCTTTTCATAGCTTTTCCCCGCGGTTCTTGTGCTTTGACACAGGGCTGGTTGCGTTTCCATTTTGGGCCAGTTTTACGAGAAACCTATGAGCGGGGGCGATGTTTCAATGGGGCAAACAACTACAGGGAGACCGCTGTCTTTGTGCTCCTTGAGCTGGTTCACCGTGGCTGCAGACCATGCTTGAAACGTTTGTTGCGCAATCGGCGGGCTTGCCTTGTTTCGTTCGGATGGATTGTTCGGCTCAGATTATTCTACGGTCTGCAAGAATAACAGATACACTTGCCTCATCGAAACATGAACTTTAATGTACCATGATCACCTTCATTCAAGCTGCAAAGATCATGACTTGTTCTAGTCTCAGGACCCGCCCAAAACGACCCCATGCCCAGTGCTAGCGGCAACCAGGCAAAGTTCATTGCAGTGTGGGCAAATTTTGCCGACCTCATTGGAGGTCCCCTTGGGTATCCCTTGTTCTGGTATGTGAATGGTAATCTGCCCTTGCGGGATTGGGACGCTCTTGCTTTGGAACATGTGTTTCTCGGATGCTTTATGTCTTTTGATCAGCAAGCTAACTCCTTGCAGGGGTCTGAACTTGGAAATCGGAAGGGGTCAATGCAGCCTTGGGACCTTCCGCTTGAAAACAGTCAACAACAGCGGTTTGAGGGGTGCTGGTCCTTCCGCTTGCGAAGTGAAGAAACGCTCTTGGGATCTTCCGCTGGAAGTTTCATGGAGCCTTAGACAGGGCTCCTTAAAAGATCTCCATTTTGCAACACCATTTGAAACATGGCTGGCTTTTTCAACACCAATATCAAGTTGGAAACAACACCATTTACAAGTTGCAATGTTCAGGCGTTTTCTGCATCCGGATCCCTGTTAGAGCCCAGGCTTTTTGGCCCTTTGAAACGAGTTTCAAAGGCGCGCCTTCGTCCACCACTATGTGGGTGAGGGCATGGAGGAGGGCGAGTTCTCTGAGGCACGGGAAGATTTGGCAGCCCTGGAGAAGGATGCTCAGGCTGCATTTGATTTCTCTGTTGTTTGTTGTTTCTTTACATACAACATGGTGTTGTTTTGTTTACAGTACATGCAAGCTTGTGGTTGTTGGAAGTGTTCTTGTTTGGTGTTTTTTGTACCAGCAACATGCTTGGCTGTTTTTTTTGGCGCGGCCCACGTTTGGTCTAGTTTGCGTTGAATGATTCTCAGTTGCCCGATGGGTTCTAAAACCTTTTCCGCTCTTTATTTGGCGGAAGAAAGTGATCCTCCAGCACCCCGCTCCTAACCACTGCTTTTTGGACTTGGGATTTTGGACATGGCAAAAAGCAGTTGTTGGGGGGGGAGATGCTGGGTGGCTCTTTGTTTTGTTTGGTTTGGAACTCTTGTGTTTGGATTGCGTCGCATGTTTTTCCCCATAGCTGCCTCAAGTGAGGACTACGAGGAGGTTGGCATCGAGACGGCCGAAGGGGAGGGCGAAGAGGAAGGCGCGGAGTGCGGTGCTCGCTGAGGTTTGGGCGGTTTGGCGGATTTGACCGACCCAGCAGTGTGGCTGTCGTGTGTGTGTGTGTATACTAGGTCCCCCAGTAGTGCCCTTTTGCCCTTTTTGGGGGGGAGGGTTCCCCTACTAAAATAGACTGCAGAAAAAAGGGTACCCTTATTCCAACCTCCATTGTCTGACCTAGTATATGGGGGGTGGCCTTTTTACGGTTGCCCCTAATTTAGGAGGTTTTAGAAGGAAACCAAAGGACAACCACAATTCTGGGGTCCCCTAATAATAGACGCACCCATAGGTATCTGCCTTTTCTATGGCGAGCTTAGCTGGGGGTAAAACGAGCTCACTATGATAAAGGCCCTTTACTTGGGGTATTTCAGGTTTGGGAAATATTGCAAAATTGGAAGATAGGTGTGTCGTGGTTGATTGCAGCTGTGTTGATAGAAGATTTGATAAACACCGTGTGCTTGTGGTGTTTGTTCCATGGAGAGTAGTCTTATGCCATTGGAATCTGAGCTGATTCATGCGCGGAGCCTTGCGCACTCCAATCGTGAAACAGCCAGCCACGTCAGGCTATGGCGATGAGTTCTAAGCCGACGCTCAGCCTTGGCCGATTTTGGTGTCCCTCGCTCATTCGCTAGCGTATGGCGGGATGAAAGTCCACTGTGGGTGACTGCTGTCATTGCTGTTGGTAGCTTCTACTTGTGGCAAGCGTTTCTGGCGAATGTGTCTATGGCTGCCACCAGCAAACAGTGGAGCAGTGAATTTGTGTTACTGGCCTTCCGGGGGTCAATAATGCGCGACCCCTGGTGGAAGAGTGACATGTTGCGCGGCTGTGAACAAGTGCGTGACGGAGTGTGTGCAAGTCAATGTGCATGTTTATAGCCATCCAAGCACAACTATGAATTTTGGGTGTTGCTCATATTTCGAATCGGTTTGTTGTGGCTTTAACTACTTTGGGGCAGGAATAGCAAATTCCTGGTGTCAACAAAGTATGGTCAAGATGAAATACTATGGACCAACCCGTAGGGTTGATCGATTGAACCCCCGACGCCGTTCAACTTTGGGTTGAGCGCGCCGAACTGTTGAACTAGATTGCACACTTACTGCCTTTTCAACCATGTGGCTGGGGGTCAAAACCAATGGTACCATTTTTGGGGTAAGTGTACCGGTGTACCACCCATTTTAGAACCTATTTTAGTGGTTGGATTGAATCGGATGTTCACTGGGGGCTAACCGATTTGGATTTTGACCCATGGCCATGTCACAAAATCCCAAGTTCTGGTTGGTAAATGTTGCAGTCACCTTCTAGGGTATTGCAAGTGCCCACGGCGCCGAATTTCGCGCCGAATTTTGGTTCGAGGCTAAGCAGGCCGAAAGTGGTTTGATGCTTTGATCAGCTATTGGTTGCCAGTCCGGACAAGTCTCCTTGTGGTGTAATGGAAACTATCTTTGCTAGGTTTTTCAATAGTGCCCTTTTGCCCCCTTTTTTGGGGGGGAAGGTTCCCCAACTAAAATGGAGTACGCTTTTTCTAACCTCTCTACTGGAGGACCTAGTTTGGAACCTCAGGACTAGCCCCAGTTTTGTTTTTTTTGTCTAAACTCCGACCTTCGAGGTGGGGAAACGGGATGTAGTTGTTCTTCTCACTCCCTGACTCGTTTTCCGTTTCGGACTTTCGTCTGTTTCTGGGGTCTGGACGAACGAACGTGGGCAACAAACTTCGGTTTTTGGGGTAATTGTTTGACCCATCTCGATCGGAAGTGAGTAATTACACCGACTCACGGAGGCTTAGTGGTTGTATATATTCCATGAAACAAAACACAACTTGCTGGTGCTCAGTAGGGAATGTTCGCTCCGGGTGTCGGGAATGGGCTGGTTTCGGGGATTCGCGAATCAAGGAAACCATAAATCGGGGGGCTCCCTCAGTGAAATTGAGTTGGCCGCGGTCTCTCTTTGTTTTCAGGAATCGGACCCCCCGAATCAGATGGCTTGTGGTTTATCTCTCGGTCCCATTTGCCATTCCCTGCCTATCGATTTGGCTGTGGGTCAAAACCAATGCTACCATTTTGGTTGGTAGGTGAATTCACCACCCATTTTAGGCTTCCTATTTTAGTGGTTGGATTGAATCGGATGTTCACTGGGGGCTAACCGATTTGGATTTTGACCCGTGGCCAAATAAGAAAATCAGGCCGCTGGTCGTTTTTTTTTGAGGAATCGGACCCCCAGGGGAAGAGAACAAAAACTCTTTTGGTGTATCTGTGGGTAGCATTTCTTTCAGGGCCATTCCTTGCCTATCGAAGGTTCGACCGCCGCCAGGTCACGGAGGCCATGACCATGGCGTGCCCGGCACCTGTTGCTCCGTGTCACGTGTGGTGAGTTGAGCGCGCGCGTGGCGGTGGAGTTCCCGTCATAAGAGGCCATTGCTTCCAGGTACCCCAAAATGGCACACTAAACTAAATGGTTTGAAGGAGTACGAAGGGCACACCAAGAGGGGACACCAACCATGTTCGCTTTTGTTTTTTGACACATACCCATAATTATAGCAATGAAATTTAATGAGGAACCACCTCAAAAGTGAGAAAGGTGGCCCACCTAATTGAAGTCCACCAAAGGGTCCTTTATTGAAATTCGTGGCCAAATGTGAACCGGGGGGGGAATCTAGTCATCCCATGTTCAACAAGAAGGGGAGCTACAGACTTTGACTGGCCCATATGAACCTCACGTCCTGCGTTCCTGGACTCTAGCCACTTTTTAGGTAGACCATTTAGTGGCAAACAAAAGGGTTGGACTTTTTGTTGGCCCTGTGAGCGGGGGAACTTCAGATTTTGACTGGCTCATATGAAACCACAACCATGTTGGTTGAATCAAGCAATCACCTGTAGCTCATAGGGCTTCATATACACGATATACAGGTGCGTACCGCGTTCAGCTTACCAAACAAATTCATTCAAGGCCGGGTGCAATTGCGGTGCAACCCAATCTAAAGTTTGAGCATGAGGTGTTGTTTTGGGGGGATGGCGTGCTTTGGGTTGTCCAAAGGGAAAAGTTCTTATGACTAGGTCCCCCAGTAGTGCCCTTTCATCCTTTTTTTTGGGGGAGGGTTCCCCTACTAACATAGACGACTGAAAAAAGTTGGTACCCTTTTTCGAACCTCTCAAATCTGGAGGACATAGATGACTTATGTCTCAGACCGGCTCCAACCCAAAGCTCGCCAGGTGGCACTGGTGCATGGCTGGCGTGCTGGCAGGCGGCCTCGCTTCCGCGAAGAAACCGAAGGGCTGGGCGCAGAGACAAAAAACGCAGCGGTTGAAGCTCCCCTACAGGAAACCGCACAAAAGGCGAAGCCAGGACGCATGAGACGGGGGTTCATCTGTTTGCCAGGACGCAAATCAATTGATGTGAGATGATAAAGATGTCATTTTGGCAGTCTCCTTTGCAATTTGCATAGGCAAGAGGAGACACAAACACAACATCCTGGCACCATGACCCTTCAAATAGATCAGTCCCTGGAAAAGGGACTTTCAGAACAGGCAATATGGCTTAAAGTGATTTTGACCGTGGCTCATATATAGTCAGAGAACATCAATAGGCAGAGGCAGCCCAACCTCCAGGTTGTTTTTGCAGCGTTTAGGTGGTCAGCGAGTCAGCGCGTGCTGCTTCCTTAGACGTCTCTGGAAGCATGTGTGCAGCATGCGGCACGATGGGAAAGGTCAAGATATCAGCAATCCATGCTTTTTGCGACCTACTGCCAGCACGCCCTTCCGGCGGAAGTGAGTCCCTCGAAGGTGCTTAGCAGAAAACCAGAAAGGCGCATGAGGCGCGCGCAGCATGAGGGCAGAAAGCTGACAGCTCAAGTCTGCTTACTGCCCTTGCAGGATGAAGCGTCAGTGAACGTTGAGCGACGCAGAGGCTGTGTTTGTCCTGAACCAGTTGGATGAGCTCTTCGATGTTGATGCGGAAGCTGGGGAGAAGGCGCCTGCACCAAAGCAGCGCCAGCTGGCTTGTTCCAAGAGGAGCCTTCCTTTAAGTATCAACGCGTAGGCTACGCACCTGCCAAATGCGGTGAGGGGCAGTCGCGCAACTTGCGCGTGGCAGCTGCGATATCCCGCGGCCGATAAGAGTTAGTTGCGCGAAAGTTCGGAGACCTGAAGAAGCGAGGCAAAGTCTCTCCAGCGCAAGCTCTTCTGGATTGCTTGCTTTGGTGCTGGGAGCAACATTTCAGCCCATCTTGCGTTACCTCCTGATCCGAAATGGACGGTTCGCAAGGAGGAAATACTAATTTCGGAAAGAGTCGGATTCAAGAAGGGCTGCTCTCAGAGGGAGAGCAGTAAGCGCATTGCTGCAGCGTAGGCGAGGCGGGACACAGGAAAGCTGCAAAGCAGACGGCAGGTGTGTTGGGCGGGGGTGGAAAATGGGTCGTCTTGCTTATGGTAGTCTTCCTGCAGATGTTCCCCTGACTATAACATGCACTGCGCGCACCATTTTGCCAATCCCATCCCACTTTCGTTTCATTGCCGAGCTGGCTTTCCACTTCGGCGGTCGGTTGATGTTGCTTGCGTGTCACAAAGCGGCGCCGAAGTGGAAACAAGGGTCTATCTTTGTTTAGGGAACCCCGAAAAATGGTTTCGGTTTTCCGTTCGAGTTTCCTTTAAAAGCACCCTCAAAACAACACACACCCAAGTAGCATAGTTCGGATTGATTGGACTTAGCCAGACGAGTCGTCAGATGGCGCCAGGTTCTGTTTAGAAAAACGTGAGACGTGCCAGTCATTTTCCCGATAGGTTTTGGTGGGAGCTGGTGGCAGTTGGCAGGATGCCTGGACTTTTCCTGATTTCTGGTGTGGCATTGTTTGCTACGGCAATGTGTCCCGGATTGTCCTGGTTTTCTTTGGCAGCCCAAGTATCACACGTTTTGTTTTCTTCGTTACATAATTTCTACACCGTGGCTTTTCACATGCATGCCCGGATGGAGATGAAATACAGCAGAACACTGCATATCACGAACCTGCTAGGCTGAACATCGATGGACCACCTCAACAAAGCCTTGTTTTTGTGAAAAGGGCTTCTTTACTGCATTTTATTGCAGCCAATGGCGAAGCATACGCTTTGAAACCGTTTGATGTGAGGTGACCAAGCCACCCAGTGTAGTAGATGGAGCACAGGACTTCGACTGTACATGCCACCTCGGATACGCCACGTGATTGGAAGCCATCGCGCTCAACATGCCACACTCGATCGTTTGTGCCAGTGGGCAAGTGGACCAAAACCAGGGTATTTGCACATTGGTTTGTGTTTGAGGCCGGTTCTCCCTCGAACCGGGTGCCAAAGATTTCCCCCAAGGAAACCAGAAGACGATAGACCCTTTTTTCCGGCGCTGTCCCCAAAAATGTTGTTTAATTCTTATGGCACAAGCTGCGCCCGAGGTGTGTGAACGGGGTGTGTGAGCTCGCCGGGCTGCTGCTTGGCTGTTGTTTTGGAGGGTATCCTTTTTTGGGAATTGTTCAGGGGAAGCCAAAGGGAGACCAAACAATTTGTGGCGCCTTTTGTTGTTTTTTTTGAGGGTACCCCAATAAGGGGGTGTTAAAGAGGGAATACAAAGGACAACAAGACATTTGTTTGGGTCCCCCTATGTTGAGACGCACCCATGTTGTCACATACCCAGAGATCGGCGGGTGAGAGGATAGCGTTTCAGCCCTGCAACGAGGGCGGACAGCCAGTCAACGCCACCTGATTTTGTAGTCATTACTGGGATGTGCAGCAAGGTTTTATTTTTCAACTACAGATCGGAAGGGACCCGAACAGCTTTTCTGGCTACTAGTTTTGGGAAGAACCATGTATTTGAATTGGGGGGGACCCATGTAGGATGTCCAATCCTTAGGTGTGATGGCTAGCCCCCCCGATCTTGGGGCCTTGTTGTGACTCTCCTGACAACGTTTTACATTTGGGCGTGTTTTTTCCGGTTGTACCCCCAAAATGGTGCAACCGATTTTCTTTTGGCTTTCCCCAACAAGGATGCCCTCAAACAAACTCAGTCATTTCGAGGTTCGCTATGGACCAGAATCCAAATGAATCTAATGCCACTGCCCGGGGGGGATGCATTAGAAGCACCCACTGCATTTCCAGGGGAGGCCTGGCCTCCGTCCACAAGGATTGTGGAGGGCCCAAGGGTAGTTAGCTTGACTAGGCCTCATTGACTAGGTCCCCCAGCGAGTCGTGCCCGCTTTTTACCCCTTTCTTGGTTGGGAGATTTGGTTCCCCAACTAAAATAGACTACAGACAAAAGTTGGTACCCTTATGCTAACCTCTCTACTGGAGGACCCGGCTGATGTTTCGCAAATTCATCAGTACAGGATGAATTTAAACAACTCCTTGCTCCCTGAGTTAATGAACTTTAAGCACTTTGTGGGAAGACAACTTCAGTGGTAAACTAACAGTCGGGGACTTTTTTTCCTGCCCATTCACTCAATGGGAAGTGAGACGAAATGAACACGTGGATGTGATTTGCACATGAGACCTTACATGCCTTGACTTCTGCTTGCTTGTGCTCAGCAGGGAATGAGAAATGGAACGACCCCTATACACCATCCCATGTGGTTTGCTTGGACCCCTCATTCCCAACACCCGGAACGGTCATTCCCTATCTATCCCACCAGCAAGTCTGGTCTTGGGAATTTTGCGATGGGACCTCAGCCATCCCCCATGTTCCCGTTCACCTTGGAAATTTCCTTAAGACCACCCAAAAAAGGGGAAGCAGACACTCAAGTCAGTCCTGGTAAGCCTTTGGGGATCGTTGGGGCGAAGTTGGGTGGTTGCAGGCTTCTGCCCTTTTGCAAGGCTGCTCTACGGGCTCAGCGGTGTGCTGAAGGAGGCCGAGGCGCCGATTTTGACTAGCACGCGTATATGTGCGAAGAAGCAACTTTGTTGTTTGTGTGTTTCTCTTGCTTTGGAGGAGTGGGTTCCCTGTCAAGTCAACTACCAGCATCTACCAACAAAACACGGGGGCCTTTTGTTTCCAACATCAATGGAGGCGGACCCAGATGTTGTTTTTCTTAAGACCATAGCTTTGGTCTCTTCTCAAGGATCCCTTCGTTCATGTTGTCGAGTGTTGGTAGTTCATGCAGTGAGACTTATGGCAACCCTGGCACCCGATTGCCCCGCTAGTGAGGGGAACAAAAGATATTCGATCCGCTGCTCACCCATCGCTTTCAAAGGGATGTGACTTCAGGCGGTACCTTCCCTTTGGTGGGAGTTTGTTGCATGCGGCGAGAACATAGAAACCCCCCGATTTTTCAACCACTACAGTCTTCTTGGAGACATCCCTCATTGGTACAGGGGTTCATTTGTTTCCCTTTTTGGAACCTCCAAAAGTGGGAGTTTTATTGGAAACCACCAGTCAATTGCAACTTTTGACGGGGATATCCGGCGACTCCTGTCCTTTGGATTGGGATTTTGGGGAATTCAATTCCCGAACACCTCCAGGCCACCAATCAAGAAGCTAACCTAAGCCTCAAAATGGACGGTGATATTTGTTGGTGTCTTTTTTTTAGGGGACTCCCCTCCTCCCAAATGGTGGTGTTCCTTTTGGTTTCCCTAGCGACAAAAGAGAAGGTACCAATTTTCAAGAAAGACGAGCCACCCATTTCATGCCCATTTCTTGATGTGTTTTGACTTGAAACTGCAAAATCAGGATTGCCGAATGTTTCGGGCATGTTCCTGGCATGCATTTGGATGCAGGCAGATGCCTTTTGGTGCCTGTCACAACTCCTGGCTGAGACGCAGGCGTGAAAATGGGGGGTTTGAGTCCATGGGTGGCTTCCTCTTGGTTTCCTTCCCATTTGCCAACAAGCCGTCCTGTTCCTTAGGTTTTAGTTGTTTTGGGTTGGTCAAAGGTGGGTCCATTGAACCCACAAGTTGAACTTTTGGCAGGGGATCTGAGGACAGCCCGGTGTATGTGTTTTTGTTCCTGGTTTTGCAGGAATGTTTCACTGCTGGAACTATGTTCAATCATTTTTCCCAGGGGACTTACATGGGTGTGTCTCTTCTTAGGGGACTCCCAAGGTGGTGGTTTTCCTGTTGATTTCCCTCGAAAGCCACCGAAAAACAGGCGGGGTACGAGCGAAATCAGGACTTCAAGCGTGGAAGTGCACTGCGACTGGTGGAAGGCAACTTGTGTCCATGCGTCGCCTGGAGAACTCCCCACACATGGTGTTTTGCGCTCCCCGGCGTTTTTTTTCCGGAAGGCGCCCAAAACGGTCGGTTCCGAAAGGAAGAACACATATTGACTCGGTTTTCAGGGTTCCATGTTTGTTTGGAGAGAGTTGTAGGCAACCATTTCAAGGGGGGCCGAGGGTCCAAGAGCGTAACATAGGCTCAGGTGCTCAGAGCGCGGCTGGAGACGCACTCTTGAGAAACCAGCCACCCCGTTATGGCCCATAGTTTTGAGAAGGATCCCTGAGAATGTCTGAGGGTTGTTGTATTACACCCTGGGATTACATGGATTACACCCTTGGGAAATGACCCAGAATGGAGCAAAATAACACGGTTTTATCCGGAAATGCGCCTAAATGGGTTCAATACCCAGTGGGTGTACTCCCAGGGTGTAATACAAACACCCTTAGAGAATGGGGAGGGTGCACTAATGCGGACGATCCAGACAAAAAGACCATCCAGCCTTCACGTTGCCGTGGCACCTCACAGGCCTTGAGGGAATTTGGTAGGTACCCTCCTACGGGTCTCATGGCAACGTGGGAAGGGTATCCGGCCAAGCGTTTAGCTGCCACTGTTGTACCAACCTGCCTTTGGTCTTCTTGAACACAGGGGGTGAAGGAGGTCCGGTTGGTGAAAGACATGCGAACGCGGAAGATGCTACCCCCTTGCAAACGTAAATTTCGCAGGCCGATATTCCAATCCTAAAAAGGACGGGCGTTGGGGTTGGGGAATATCCCTTTTGTACTTTCCGGGTTGCAAAAGCGTTTCAGCTCCACCACCTCCAGAGCAGTGGACCCGTGACCAGAGCCCGAGTGTCTGGGATCCTTTGCCATGGACTCGAGTACCATCTCTCGGGCATATGCGGAACCGACCCCTACTGGTTGGCTTCCCTTGAGCGAGCTTTAGGGTGCCCATTTTTTCTCAGTTGTTCGGCTCCCTTGTTCCCTTTTTTTGGGTGGCTGCCCCACTAAAATGCTCTTCCCAAAAAGGGTTCCCTTTTTCCAGGGTCACTGAACAACTGAGTTTCTTTCTGGGTTGGAAGGAGGTCCTTTCAAAGACATGTGTCCTGGGTTCCCGCCCGGGCTTCTTTTCGCAAAGATGTTGCTGGTGTTGGCCAGCAACATCATGGACACCAAGTCCCAAACACGCGAGCATTGGTCGGCAGGGAGCCGTGACACGGAGCTAGGGGTATCCAACTTTGGCTTTCCAGAGGGAATTTTCGGAGCTACCAGGAGTTCTGGTTAGGGGCCTGAAAGCATGTGTCCATGGATGGTCTGGGCGCTGGGGCACTTGATTTTTCAGCGGCCCATTCAAAGTCATACCCCTCAGATGGGTGCCCCAAAATGGTGGATTTCCAGGAGGTGTCCCTTGAAAATCACCAAAAAGGGATTGCCATCGAACAATGACATACCCAGATCCTTTGTACCCTCCACAATTTCTAGATTTTAAACTCGAAAATAATAAATTAGCGGCTAGCAACCTTGCTTGTTGTTTCACAGGCAACATGGCTGGCTTTTGTTTGTGCACGTCGGCCTATGGTTGGTCTATGCTGGTTTGTTTGTTGAACGATTCGCAGCATTATTTGTTGGCTAGGTCCCTCAGTAGTGCCCTTTTACCCGTTTTGGGGGGAGGATTCCCCTACTAAATTAGACTACAGAAAAAAGGGTACCCTTATTCTAACCTCTCTCTACTGGAGGACCTAGTTGATGGAACAGGTTGAGTTTGTCTTGATTCCTCTTACCAGGGCCATCTATTTTTCCAGACGGTCACCTGTAGCTATGAGATTTTCTCAACAATGGTTGGTGCACGTGACATTTCACTCCAAATTGGCCTTATTTCAAATTCACACCCATGTGTTTGGACAGCGAAAATGTCAGGAGACGATCCTTGGAGACGACGCTCTCGCACTCCAGGCGCAAGATTTTTTTCTCGCGAAACGGTTGCTTCCCCCGTTGGGTTATGTCTCAAAATGGGTGTGTCTAGGTCCCCCAGCAGTGCCCTTTTACCCCTTTTTTGGGGGAGGGTTCCCAACTAAAATAGACAAAAATACAAAAAGGTTGGTACCGGTACCCTTATTCTCACCTCTCTGCTGGAGGACCTAGGTGTTGTTTTTTAAGAGATCCTCCACAGATCCCCTAGAAATGATGGTTTGCAGTTAGGTCCCCTTGAACACCTCAAAAACGAAGGGGGGTACACAAACCCAAATAGGAGGTCCCCGAGATACACTGCGGTTTTCCTCTGTCTGGTTTCGCCTTTTTTCCCCAAGTTGAAATGGGTCTCAAAAAAGAACGCACAGAGAGAAAGAGAGAGTGGCTCACTTGCTTCCGCCATCCAATGAGCTTCGGAGATTCGACCATGCCATCGGTGCGTAGCACGCCCTGGCCGCGCAGAGAGTAGCCGCCCAAACAGAGAATGATGCCAAGGCGCCATGGACTCCAAGATGCGGCCATGTTTCAACAGATGGGTACAGGTACCCTTTGTGTTGGCTTGGTGGCCTTCTTTCTTGGGCGTGGTTTTGAAGAAGTTGGCCTGAAACCCAAACAAAAATCCTTTTTGGCTTGGTGCCCCTTGTTTGGCGTGGTTTTGAAGAGAAGAAGTTGGCATGGAACCGAAGGGAGGCTGCCCTTGTTGGTTTTGAAGCTTGAGGGGTCGATGGCCCATGGTTCGGCTCGCCAGGCGCGGCGGATTCATGAGCTCCACCGACTCTTTGACCCCCCGGCGCGCAGGGAGGGGGTGCCGACACGTGCAGCTTGTTTTGCAGCTTGGAACTCTAAAACACGCAGTTGCTATTTATGTGTTTAAGAAAAAAAACACAATTGATACCAAAAACCAATTGGGTGTCCCTAAGTTTAGTGGGGAATCATCAATTTTGGAGGGGAACACCCACACCCTCTATGGGTTGATTATTATCTAGGTCCCCCAGTAGTGCCATTTTAGCGTTTCTTTTTTGGGGGGACGGTTCCCCTACTAAAATAGACTACAGAAACAAGTTGGTATTGGTACCCTTATTCTATCCTCTGAAATCTGCAGGACCTAGTTGATGGAACAGGTTGAGTTTGTTTTGATTCCTCTTACCAGGGCCATCTATTTTTCCAGACGGTCACCTGTAGCTAAATGAGGGAGGAGGCTAAATAGACCCTAAGTGTCCATCAAACGCATAGGTTGCCCAAGGCTCCAAACATGATTCGAGCGTCGCGCAGCTGCTACTCGCCCTCTGAGTTCTGGCAGCCCTCTGAGTTCTGGCAGTCAATTGATCAACTTTGAATTGGGGATGCCAGTTTCTGCGATTTGGCGCTCAAGTAGTGGGGGCTATGGAAGCCCACGACGCCGGCTGCCTGACGGAGACAAGCACTGGCAAGCGGCTCGCGATCTAGATCCGCGAGCGTGTCGGCTGCCGGGACGTGGACTAATTGCCCGGTCCGCCTCGGCTACGCAGCGACTCTGCAGAAGGTGCAAGGGCAGACGCTGGAGCACGTGACGCTGTGGTTCGACCGGCCGTGCTGCAGGGCCGCCGGCTATGGCTGGTCTCTTTTTGGAGGCATATTTCTAGTTTATTCGGATGTCCACCCCCAATTGGGAATACCGTGGTCTTCATCATTCCCCATGCAATTTTGAAGGGAACACGGGGAATGATCCTTAGGTCCTTTATAATTAGGGGGCCAGGGTTACCCTTCCCATGGTAGGGGATCTTGGGCTTGTCAAAAAGGAGATCCACATTCTTGGTGGGTCCACATCCCTTTTGGAGACAGCCCCACGTGACGTGCTTCAAACGGTGCTTGTTTCCGGTGCCGCCCTTGCTGAAGGAACCCGTTGGCAAAGCAAGTTGGCAGTTGTGGTTCTGTGATGCAATCCTTGACCCCCGTCCTATAGAATCATTGCAGCCACAAAAATGGGCACGGACATATCCGCCTTCTTTTCTTTTCTTTTTTTTGACAGGGCGTTGTTTTCGTTCAGCTTGTTTTCGGTTGGTTTAGTCTTGCCTGAAGATCCCACTGGGTCTCTTCCTCTTTTCTTTTCTTTTTGTTTGACGCTCTGGGCCTGAAGACACAGATCGGGGCCCGGCGATCTCCAGCCGCGGGGTCACACCGGTCGCTCGGGGGTCGGCGAGTCGGCGTGAGGTGGCCGACTTGCTGCAGAGCCACGGGCTCAGCGCTATGCCGGCGCTGAGGCGCGGGCCCAAGATGATATGAGTGGATGGAACAAGTTTCTGTTGTTTTTGAAGGATACCAAAAAGGAACACCCAGCATTTTGGGGGCTCCGTTCAAGACAAGCCCAAGTTTGGTGCATTTTGCCAAGGGATGTTACTTCAACTTTTGGCCAACTCGTGGGTTTTCCGAATTAACCCGCCAAAAGTTAAACTTTCAGCAGGGGAGCAGAAAGCAACCGCGGGATGTTTTTGTTTGTTTTTTTCGGGTCGGTGTGCGAGGAAAAGGCCGGCAACCCGCATGGGGCAAGCAAAAACGAAAGGCGATATGAGAGGAGCTTATTCATGAAGTGTGGTTCCTTTTTTGGGAATCCGAAGTTTTCTGTTTTGTAAATTATTTGATTTTGGACAACTGTGGTTCTCAAATTAGCAACCGGAAGCGTCCTTAATTGGAGCCCTTGGGTTCTTCTTTGTTTTTGAACTGAAACTCTTTTTTGAGGAGGGTGCTAAGTAGCCTTGAAACCGGACGGAGACACACTTGATTTTTTGTCCATAAATTCTATTTAACACCAAGAGTGGTCGCTTTACTTATGTCATTGTGACTTGTGGGGATCGACGAGGGTTTGGTTGGACCCAGCTTCCTGATTTGAGTAGAACCTGGTGAAGCAAGTATATAGGGGTAGCAGGGATTCAGGGCAACCAGGGATACGGGAGGATTCTTCCTAAATGCACCTTGACTAAGTTTGATATGGGAAATGGCGCCAAGGGAATCCATACCCCATATCCCCGCTCCCTCCGTATCCCCGCTCGTTCGTTTGTCCAAGTTATGTTTTTGGTTTCTTGGTGGTTCCCAGCCATCCGGTTCCTTAGCTTTTTGTTAAGCTTTTTAGTGTTTTTTGGTTGGATTTCCATTTAACCCAGTGTGCAAGAGTTCCCAGTGTTCCAATGCTTGTAGTGTTCCAGTGTTCCAATGTTTCAGGTCTCCAGTGTTCCTGTTCCTATCCCAGTGCCCTAGTGCCCCAGTATTCCAGTTCCATTTAACCCACCTTGAAGGCATCTAAAAACTAAGCTTTTAGCAGGGGATCTGAGGGCAGCGCCGCTTAGACGCCAGCCACTCGCCCTGGGTTTGACCCGCCCAGTTATTCACTTTTAGCGGCACATCTGAAAACGGACAGGTTTGGTCCTGTTTCCAGAGGCTGGCCCTGCTTTTCCGCGGCGAACAGCAGGCTGGGCGGCCTGCTGCTCACGCGTGCGGGCTTCTCTTTGCAGCACGCGGTGGGCGGCCCCACGCGGATTCGGGCGGTGCGCGAGGGACTGGCAGTAGAGTTCTGAGTAGAAAACGATTCCACATTCTTATTGGACTAGGTTTTTCCAGCGAGTCGTGCCCGCTCTTTCTCACACCTTTTTTTGTGGTTGGGAGATTCGGTTGCCCTACTGAAATAGACTACAGGAACAAAAAGTTGGTACCCTTATTCTAACCTCTCTACTGGAGGACCTAGTCAAAGTTCTCCAAGCGGATGCGCGACCAGGGGGAAGATTCCCCATTCTTAGTAGGGATCCTTCCAGGAAACCATCAAAGACCGGGAAACAGCTGGTTTTGGAGAAGAGCGAGAAAAGCTCCTTAAGATGTGATTTCGGGCCCAATATCATTCCTTTCAGGTGTTTGAAGGTGTGGCGGTAGTCAGCCAAGAGTTTTTGGTAGCGGACATGCACGGCCCCCTTTTATCCCCCACTTAAATCCAGGGGAGCTGCAAAACGTAAGATCAGGGTTCCGAACCTCAGGAGAAGTTGAGCCCCTTTGACCCTAAGTATGAGGGCCTTTGACATTCAATGAGGTCTTCGGCCCGCAAGGGGCCCGGGGCCCGGGCCTGGATTTTCGGGTCGGCCCAGAAGTTATGCTGGCCTGTGGTCCACGAGTGTTTGGGTAGGTCCTTTTGGTCCCCCTGAAACTCTGTCTAAAGCGAATCGACCGGATCTGACCTTTTGGTTTCCCCCTTTTGCGGGTTCTCAGTTTCGGTCATGGCGGGACATATCGGGTATTGTTTATCCCATGCGGGGCAACTGGCTGTGGGTCAGAAATGGGGTAACCGCACAATGGAACTCCGGTAAATGGAGCCAAGGACTAAAATCTGCAATCCCCTGATGGTTTCTTTTTCACCCATACCCTAAGCAAACCTATGTTTTACTCTGCTCCGACATGCGACACATGCTTCCCGTGGCTCAAGCTGAACTCGGCATTTTGCGAGCGAGAAGGTCATGTGACCGCTGCACCTCGGCAGCCGCAGAAAATTTTGACGATTGACCTTGGGACCGTGGCTTTTGTGGCTCTTTGATTTTGCACCTTTGGTGCAACGCTGCTTTTTTAATGATGTCAGCGCAGCGGTGGGGTGCGAGCTGTGCATTTCATTCATTCATGGCTGTGGGTCAAAACCCTGTACTTTTTTTTTGTGATGTCAACGCAGCGGTTGGGTGCGAGCTGGGGATGTCATTCATGGCTGTGGGTCAAAACCATCGAAGCCCCTGGTGAACATCAAAATAGGTGGCAAAATGGTTATGCCCCATATATGCCCCATGGCCATGAATCCCCCTAAACAAAGGCAAGCTTTATAGCAAGGGATTAAGTCACCACCAAGGCAACATGCGGCGCGTCCTGATCCTTCTGGCCCTGAGCGCCGTGCTCGGGGAGGAATTCTTGAGCAAGAAGATCTCAGCGAGGCTGGTGGCCATTCTAAATGCTTGGGCCCGATTTTCTGCCATGCCTCACCCTCTTGTCCACGTGGACATGGAACCCCAAAGCGTCAGGTTCCATGACAAACGGGACATTTGCCATGAAGGAATCCGCGTAAAAGAACACACCGTGGCCCCATGTGGGGCTTCCAGATCCGATTTAGAGAGAAGATGCATCAGCATTGCTTCCCGGGTCGCTCAACACTCACTCCTGAATCCTTGTGCCAGATGTCAGCAGATCCCTTGTGTTGCCAAAAACTCCGCGGATCGCTTGGGCTTCGGGATGGTCGTCGCATATCCCAGCCGGGATTTTCTCCGGGGCTCTTGGCCACCCTGAGGTGCTTGCAACGAGGCTGGGCGGACGACTCGCAGTGCAGCCAGTTGCTGAGCATCGCGCAGGACTGCTTCTCTTGGAATCCCATCGACAAAACGGACGACGCCAGCTTGCAGGCCGGAATTCGGGATGCGGGGCAGTTTGCCGCCTGGTGGAGAAATTGAGAGAGCAACTCCAAACGTCCAACCTCAAGAGTTGCCAGTAATAGCAGAAAAGAGGGAGTAATGCAGAAACACGTGTTTTCGTTATTGTTCCCGCAATTACACACCCTCGTCCAACCTTTGTGTTGGTTGGTTTGATGTCAGAGTTCTGTCTGGGGCTGCCAACATATTTCGCCCAACTCAGCGGGTGCTCCTGGTTTCGCGAAAACCCTCCCGCTGTCCTTTTTGTTTCTCCTTGCGGGTCCCATTTTTAGTCATGGCCCCAAACGGTCATGGTCCCATCTGGGGAAACTGAGAGCACGGGAGCTTTTGTGCGGGTCTTTTGTTTCGTATATGGATTGACTCTCCGGAGGTTTGTAGCAACGGGTAGTCATAAACTGTTGGCGGTGCGAAGGCTGAAACCTGACGGATACTTCGGCTCACTCGGAAGGACTTTGGACAGCCATTGTGAGGATTCCTTTTCAGGGAACCATGACATGGCGCATGTTAGACGGAAATAAGCCAGGCCCAAAACACGTCCCAAGGCTTTCAGGACTTTTCCAAGAACCACCTCTACGATCCATGCACAAAAAAAGAAAGTCGAGGCGTCTTTGGGCGGTGTCTCAGTCTCATTGGTGTCCTTTTTAGCTGGTTTGCTTAAAACATTAGAGGGCCCTGGTTTAGATGGGGTTTATTCCATTTACCAGCGAAACCCATCTATTTTTCCAAAAGGCTGTTCAATCCATGCAACAAACAGAAAGAAACAGTGGAGGCGTCTTTGGGAGATGCCACGGAGTGCGTCCTCTTCAACCTCAAGCAGAAGTGGGATTGGTCCCCAGAGCTGTCCAGCGCTGGATCCAACACTGGGGACCAGCAGGACCAGGATGGCCAGAGTCGGACACCCAGCTTGTGGACGAAGGATGACGAGGGGCAAGTGTGGGGATTCAAACTACTGGGGGCATATCGGCTTGTCCTGCGCTTCAGGGATACCCTCCCCCCAATAATTTTCTGTTGGAGGTCCATAATTGTAGCAAGTGGTTTTCTGTTCGATGCATGGTTTCCGCCCAGTTCACCCGTTTAGTTGGTTCCCCACGTTAAAAGATGGAGCGCGAAAAGGGCTCCGTTTGCCAATCACTGGACTGGCCTCGCTTGTGAGGTCTTAAGAGGATCTTGGCATCCAAAGCCCCAACAGTATTGGTCACCGGTCGACATGTCCAGGTTCTCTTGTCGCTTTGGTATGGGAAGCTCCGGCGTGGAAGACGTGGGAGGGTACCTGTTTTCTTCGTAGCCACCAGGCACTAGTTCACTTTCAAGAAACACGATAACTTCGATCAAATTGCTTAAAAGGTGAACTTCGTTCGGCGCCTCGTTTGGAACCGGTGAGTCAGTATCATGCGTGCAAACAATAGAGGATCCTCCTGGAACACTGCCGCCAGACGTTTGCTTGATGTCGAAGGGAAAACCAGCAACAGAATCCGGCCAAGCCTGTTTCATGCAATGGCTTTGGTATCAACCTCCTTTTGCTTTCCCTTGAACCAGCTGACCAATCCACCGGCCGGGGCCATTCCGTGCTGAGGGCCCCCTTGGTCCCTCGAGTCATTTCCACAAAAGACTTGCCACCTGAGGCGACACGATCATCAGTGTAGACACGCCGACGGGCAAGTGGCGGTTCACCTTGCGCGAAGCTGCCGCCCCGTCGAAAGCGAAAGCGTTGCGCTGGGGCCATGGTGGCGTGACCTGTCATGACCTGGTCCGACCCAAGTGGATGTCAACCGCCAGGGGTTGTCTCACAATAGAGAACCCCCACGATGGCAATGGGTTCCTTTTTTGTTTGCCCTTCAACCAAAAAGGCGCTCTGAAAGGGTATGTCCGTTTGGGGTAAGATATTTCAATCCACGCGCCTTCTAGAAAAACCGGAATGACCCCCTATTGAAACCATCGCTCGTGGTTTTGGTTTCAGCGGGTAACCCTAAACCCTAAACTCCAAATCCCTACGAATAAGGAATTAATTGATGTATTGGGAGTCGCCCAGACGCGACGCGACGCGAAGGTGATGGCGTACAGCTTGCGCCGGGGCGACGCCACCGCGGCGCAAGAGGCGGATTTGCTCCACTTCACTGAGCACTGCTTCGCCAGGCGGGGGGTGGGTGGGGAGCTCCACAGAAGATGTTGGGGTTGTTTTTTTTTTGTTGGTTCTTTTTTTTTCTGTTCGTTTGTTTGAGGGGTCCGTTGAAGTGCAGATGTTTGTGGGGAGGATGACATTTGCCCAGAGTATTGCAAGGTGTCCACCCATGTGTGTCCAGTGCAAGATATATAGTTGGTTAGTTGGTCAAACACAGCTTTTTCATGAACCATGGACTGTTTTTGTAAATGTGGGCCCTCGTGCATGGATGGGGGGAAGACAATCTGCACCAAAACTCATACTTCCAGCACATGCTTCATGTGTTGAAAACCCTAATCAATAACACATATCTTAGTTTGAGTCCGTACTTCCGTGACATGTTTTTCTTGTGGCACCCGGTGGGAAAACTTGCCTCCTCGGGTAAATTTGAGGATGTCACTTTATTGGACCCAGCTTATTGACCAAATAGCATGCAGGATCTGAAGATATTCGGGGTGTGTTTTTTAGGGGACTCCCCCAAAATGGTGGTTTTCCTTTTGATTTCCCTTTAAAATTCAATCCAACAAGGGGGTAACCTGAAAAAGACACGGGTGACCTGAGAAACATAGCAAAACATTCTCAGGGTTTCAACCGCCAGGGCCCTCCTTCAATGTTCCGGGCCGGAACTGGCGAGTCGAGGCTCAACATGGGCACGTGCAACCTGGACACGCTGCAAGGCGCTTTGGGAAGTCGGCGCTTTTCTTGGCAAAACTCGAACTCGCCGACCTGTTTTTTTTTTGTTCAATCGCATGCGCGCCCATGAAGGTGTTCTGCGGCGATTCCTGATGTTCAGACAGAATGGCCATCGTTTAGAGGGTATCCTTTGGCCTTTTTTTTTCTGCAAGCACGAGGTGTTGAAGGCAGATACAGGATTTCCCAGTGCTATATTTTGTTTCATGGTTGTTTTCGCACC